TGTTGCTCCCAGCTGTGGCCATTTTAACATTCATTACTGCAGGAACTGCTGGACTTGATTCACTTGGAGACAGATGATATCAAAACAATTGTCGACACAAATAAACATGCAACCAAACACACAAGAAGAAATGTCCATATTAAAGGAATACTTTACCCCCTAAATAATCATTGGCATGTCAATTACTCACCCCATGTTACTTTGAATTCCAGAGAAACTGAAAAAGCTAAAAAAGGGCGAACATTCTTGATGAACTGAAGTCATAGGGTTCGTGTTTAACAGCAGCAAACCTATATCAAAACAGCCATTTGCAAACCCTCACACAACTCATGCAGTCCGAGTCATTTATCCAGACGTGTACTAAAATCATATAATTTAAAACAGTGGTGTGCTACGCCTTTTACTCCAATTTATCAAGAATTTTCTACCTTTTTGGATTCTTCGTTCAACTTTGAGGCATGTGAGAAAACCAGTTTTCTTCACAACTTCAAGTTAACGAATGATCATTTTCCGGGTGAAGTATTCCTTTAATGATTATTTAACATTGATCTGATGATGTGTCATCGTGCTGTGAACAGGTTTGATTGCTCTGTGTGTGCTTTTCATCAGGTGCGTCTGATAAGGCCTTCATCGATCCACTTGTGTGGCTCACAGCTCTGCTCACTACCTGGACGGCTGTTTTGCCCTCAATAACCGCTCGTGCTCTCAATGTCATCCTCACCATGCATGACAAGCACAAGGTGAGACATCTGCGTGAAAAAGAACATTAAGACAGTAAAGAAAAGGTGGAGTATCGATTTACAGAGGAATCATTCAAAATGAAATAGAAGTAAAACATCTAGCAGTCACCTGGATTTCAGTCCATCTCAGTCGTTTTCCCAAACTATTTAAGACTTTTACAGCTCCGAAAGATGTCAGTTACACAATATTTTCAGTGTTTTTCTCTGTGATAATTCTCCAGCTGTTCGCATCCTACTGGGTTCTGACAGGAAAATGTGCTCACTGTTGACGAGTTAAAAAACATAAAACATCACCTGTGTTTTGAGGTTGCTCTCTTCGATGGTTGGCCCCGGTGCCAGCCTGCTACCTATGCAACTCCCCACCCTCCAATATTTTTGTTGTACGTCTCTTTCTCACTTCATATAATCTTTTTCTCAACTGTTAACATGTCTCTGCACCTGTTTGGTTGCCATTTTATGTTACTTTGGAGCCGTCAGAAGGCTGAGCTTGTGTGTGTTATCTGAGATGTGTTGAGCTGTGTCTCATTCACTGATTATTGAGGTTTAATTCCTATAAAATCAAAAGAATGAGCAGCTATAACGGTCACTGATGCCCCTCTCACCTGCCTGTGCTCTAGGTCCACAATGTGCCCAGTCAGCAAGTGGAGCTGAAGTCAAAGTTTAGAAGGGGAACGTCTGCTCGCCGTTCCTCTTATGCCCTCTCTCAGGGGGCGGGGCCTGGACGTCTCATCACTTCAGGGACCTGCATACGCAGCACAGTGCCGACGGTGGATGAGAAGGTGACTGCAAGTACTGAATCAGGAGTACGAATTGACATGAAGGACACTAGCATTGCACCTAATTGCACATGAATAATGATAATGATAAAGTTTAGCTTTTGATATGGGACAATATTTCACGTAGATTGTTACTGCAACATAGAAGATGAGAAGATGAATCGCTATGTGTCTGCACCTCATCGTCTGATCGTCTGTGTGTGCAGTTCTTGCCTTCTTCGCTCATCTTTTGTACAGCTATTTTCCAATAAAGTAAATGTTGTAATATACAAAGTACATTATGTGCTATAAATCTTGTTTATTGTCTTTACATAGACGGTTTACCTCTGCATGAATATCTCTGATCTTTGTTGTTTGAGACTGTTGTGGTAAAAATCAAATTTCCCTCTGCCGGCGGTCACAGGGGATTTCCTTTGAAGATCAAACCAAACACAATAAACCAACAGCACCGCTTTGTTTTACAATTGTTTTATTTGTTAATTTATTTCAAAACACGCAATTTTACCCATATTATCCTTTTAAGTTTTTATTTTTCTGTAACAGTTATTACTCAGATTTTTTTCCTTCTCAAAAGTCTCAGCTAGAGTGAAACTAAAAGTCCTCCACAGGCTCTCCGGCTTCTGCAGTGGGAGGAGGGAAAAGAGGCTTTCTGACCAGACGTCGTGAGTGGGTTTATCCCTTGTTTGTGTGTGGGTGGAGGTGTGTGTGTGTGTGTGTGTGTGTGTTTGTTATACTGGAGTCTGTATGTGTGTGTGTTTAAGTGCAATAGGTGGAATGTCCACATGGCCGGTAAATCACAGGACCCGTAGAGCAGCCCAGAGAGCTGAACATTGTCTTCTAGGTTTGGTAGCCAGATTGTCATACCTCTGATTTCATCTTTGGTTTCAGCAAACACTCTCAAAAGGCAGACTCACCCTCTCCAGCATGTGCCTGTGTCTGTTTGTGTGTCTGTCTGTCCGAGTGCAATATAAGCCACCGTCTCCAGACGACTTTGTAAACTTAAGTAAGTACAATGTAAGTGTCTTTGCATTGATTGTGGCCCTTCCTTGGCGCTGGGGACAAAGACAGTCAAACATTGTAGAACAATGGAGCCATGAGCGGGGAGGATCAGCTTGCAAACATCAACATGGACTCCATTTTGATGTCAATGGCAGTTTGGGGCATTCATGTAAAGCTGTACGACATCAGTGTGGTGAAAACATGGGGGCGCTGTAGTGCTCTCCTCTACCCAGCCACTCTCTACTGTACCCTGAGTGACTGGGGTTTCTCCGCCCGCTCTGGGCTAAAGGGAGGAGGGGGATGAAAGGGGGAAAGGTCATGGAGTGTGAGCAGGAGTGTGTGGTAATGTCGAGGGGAGGGAGGGGGGTTGAGGGTTGTACACTCTGACCCAGCAGCAACGATTAAGATTGGGGGGGTCAGGTGTTTGCATAGTTCTCTGTGCAAAAGCCACCAACCGGAGCCATTTTTATTCCTCGCGGCTGGTTACATCATCATTAGATTAGCAGGAAGTTGTGGTGGGTGATGGGAAATATGGTCTTTGCACCACAGCTCTTGTACTCTACTCCTGCAGTGCACTACGTTGTGGCAGTAGGGGTGCAGGAGGGTGGAAAGTGACAGGGGATGAGGAGGGAGTGAATTTATAAATGTCGAATGGAGTGTCGCAGTCACGTCGAGCATGATGGGATGGAAGATGTGTCAGAGAGCGGAGGGGAGATGACGGGGCAGTCGTTTGGCAGTCGGGCACTACAGCTCGTCAAAGCTCAGACAGCCTCTTTTCCCTTGGTTTTGTTCTTCCGTCCTCCCCTTCCTCCTCCCCACTGGCCTGCCCTCTCTCTACCTTTTTTCTTGTTTTGAAACTGATTGTCTTCTACCATCACAAAGACACTTGGTTCTGATTGATTAACAGGTAACAGAAGAGGGAGAGCACAGTGTGACTGGGGGTGTCTACATCAGTCCCATTGGCAACATTCGATCCCACGGTGAAACGACACACACATAAGCTGTTTGACAGTAAATGCTGACGACATTTCTGGGTCGGATTATCAGTTGCCAAATGGTACTGCGGTTGGTTGGTCGGTCAGTCAGTAAGAAATGGTTTCAAATTTTCGCATGACAAATATTGCAACCCATAGTAAAGGAACATAAAAAAGAAACACTTTGTCTTCCACATAGGTACAAATGAACACACATACACAGATTGAAGAAAAGCATGTAGACAGACATACAGGTATATTCAAGGCCGCTCGGGCCTGTGTGTGTCCCTCTGATTAACTCCAAGTAAACAGCCCGTCTTTGGAAAAGCAAGACACACATTTCAGGACCCGAGTGCGGACCACAAAGCTGAGGAATGAAGATTGAATGCTATTGATTGGGAGGAGAGGAGTTTGACCTCCCCCAGCACACACTGCCCCCTACTGTCTGGATTTATATACATCAAAGAAACATGGGGAAAAGGGGAAGGGTTGCAACAACACATGCACACAACCAGTGAATCCAACAGTGACGGAAATTTCTAAAAACAAGGACCCCTCCAACGCCTAAAACCCAGATCCTCCCACCCTTTTTTTTGTTGTTGTTTTGATAACCAAAATATCCCCCACCCCTTCTCCACCCACTCCCAAGTCTTTCCATCCTCCTCCTCTCCCCACAAAATCACAGGTCATTCCTGTTGGTTTCTATACAGTTATACAATATCCATGCACAAAAGAAAAAAGCGCACCTTCTTTTCAATAGGAGGTGCTGGTCTTTAATATTCTAAGAACATCAGGAGCACTTGAACACACCCAGGAACCTTCAAAAGTAACTGTGAATTTTTTTTTTATCAGAGAAAAGACAACTTAAAGGCAGAAGAAAGCTAACAATGAATAAAAGATTATTCCTCCTTTGGTTTAACATCAAATTTTTGGTTAAGAATTCAGCCCAAATCATTATTTTTTTGTCATTTCTTTCCTTTTTTTTGTTATTTTCCTTTTAAACACACCCACCTCGGACAGAGCTTTGAACTAAGCATCTAAAGTGAGTAGCTCGTGCCCCCCTCTCTCTGTTCTAGCCTTCTCTTCTGTCTCTTCTTTTCTCGTGTAACCCTTCACAGAAACATTCACAATGTCTTTTTCCTTTATGAAAAACAGTAAGTACATGCCGTAGCAAAAACAAACGAGAGAACATACGAGAAAAATGAGCAAACAAATAAAAGGAATTTAACAGTATAAAGCTTCAAGTCACAAGTTCCAAAACTAACTATCATAGTATCATAGTTTCATAATCATTGTTATCATTAGCAGTATTATTTTCAGTCTAAATTACATAAAGTTTACATGAAAGGTTTTTGAGGTATTTCAGAATTAATTGTCAACACACGCCTACCGGGTCTTAGCACTAGCCAGGGGGAGAGGTCGACTGGACAGACAAGGTGGAGGGAGGAGAGCAATTTGTGTCTATAAACTGTCAGTGAGTCTTCCACACTTTTCTAGTGCAGCCTCTGTGCTTGCACGCAGTGGAGAGAGAGAGACATTAAGTGGTAAGATGTTTTTTTTTTTTTTTACAACTTATAGCCCTGTGAGCGCTCAGAGCCTCAGCCTTTTTACCCCCCTCTTTCTCTGTTACACAAAAATATCTCTGATGCGAGAGAGGTAAAGTGGCTGAGAGTCTAAGCACACTGGGCGGAGGCAAAAAAAATAAAAAAAAAACATAAAGGCTGTGAGCTACTAGAAGATCAACGATACAGTAACAAAGACTCTGACAGATTAAGGAGTAACATATAATTTTGTTTCAAATAAATAGTGTATAGAAAATGTTTTATAGACTTTCTACATGATAAAGTGCTTGTATTCTAGTGTATCAAGATGGAAAGTCAATATGGGAGAAAATGCTGACACAGCCCCCACTCTGTGTCCCTCTCTTTGGCCCCCCTTTCTGTCCATCCAATTATGGGTGCGTTGTCTGAATGTGAGTGCATGTTTGTAAATGGGTGTGCAGCTATATGCATGCACCCGCGTGGCTGTGTGTGCGTGTGTGTGTGTGTGTGTGTGTGTGTATGTGCGTGTGTGTTATTGCATGTGAGTGTGTGTCCAGTGCAGTCCCACCCGTGGTTGAAGGGAAAAGGCACTCAACTCTGTCTGCATGCAGCCACCTCCTCCTATGTGGCACGATGCAGTCCGACTGCGCTGTTTGTACAAATGTGTGTGTGAGATGTCAGTGTGTCTGCCTGTGACATTTCTGGGCAAAGGGGGGGGGGGCTTTTTTTTGGTTTGTGTCCCCCTAGGCAGTTTGGGACCGGTAGGCTGCAGTATCTTTGGTATTAGTGGCGGTTTCACAAACCACTCAGCTTAGTGAGGTAGCCACATTGGTTCTCACTACAAACAAATGTCATTTTGTCAGCCTAATACCTAGAGCTGAATCTAGCTATTTACCTATGCTCACTGAACTGTATACCACAAATCGATTTTAGCTCATCATCCTTTGGCGACATTAACTCACTGCTTACAGCAACGTGAAGTTTGTCAGTACCTCTCAATCAGCTCCTCTACAATGACCATCTCTTATCTAATCTGCACCGCTAATCTGACTACATTGTTGGAAATGCTACAGTTGCATCTTAAGACCATACAGATAACAATTGAGTCCCGAGCATTACCCCACACCCGTCCTCTGGTAAAACGCACTGAATCAGCCAGGACATTTGGAGGTCATGTTTTGTCCCCCCTCTGTTTTTACCCCATCCTTGGGGCTCAGCTTAAAGGGGGCCGAGGGTACCACAGTTCTGACATGAAATGCCAAAAGACAGAGAGCGTCCCATCATTTATTCTTCTCTTCAGCAGCTCCTTTTTCTCCTCTTTCTCACGTTAATGTCTCCTCCGAGTCTGTATTCACATAGAATGCAAAAAAAAAAGAAAAGAAAACTTCCTTCATTGGCCTCGGTCCTTGCATCCCTCTTTTTTTTAACCTTTTAAAAAGTCCTTCCTTTTTTGTTTTTGATTTATCAACAAGGTGCCTTACTTATGCACAACAGAGCACAATAGTAACAAGAAATAGAAACTTTGTGTCTATGGTACTAATTAAATACCCGCATCAATATAGAGAGGAAGAGAGAAAGAGAGGGGGCAATGGGGTTAGAGGGACAGAGGAGGTAGAGAACCAAAGATAGAATGAGAGATTTTTTTTTCTTCTGCTTCAAAATGTGTCCAGTTATGTGTTGGAGACATTTTGTTTTTGTAACACATATTGTGTGTGTGTGGTATCTTTGTCGTTTGAGGTTTGGTTATTGTATGCCTTAAAATCTGATTCTTTTTTTTCCATTTTTTTACTACAAAAGTATATTTTTAATTCAGATAAAAGCTGATTGTTGGTTGCTATGGCACACACCGCCCGTCATCAGTGGGGCGCACTGTAGCTGTGTGTGAACCCTAGTACCATATTCTCTGATTCGCATTAAGGCAGTAAGCATTGGCACTAATTATTGTAGCATTTTGACAGCTGAATGTGGTGGTTAGCTTTGGGTTAGCTACTGATAACCCTTGTGTGGGAATAACCAGGAGATTTGGTTTGAATCACATCTGTTGAGAGCTTTTTTTTTTGCAAACAGATGGGATGGAGGAATGGAAGGATGATTTGACAAAATATGAAGCCTCCCAAAATAATGTAAATTAAACCTCCGCTATGCCTCAAATGTGTCTGTCTCGGTGAGCTGTTACTTTTTACTCTGTTGTACTTTTCTATCCGGTCTTTGTATTTTGTGTGAAGATTTGGATTGGCTAAATAAATCCCTGCCTTTGCTAAATCCCTGCGTTTTCAGCATTCAGTTTAACCATCCCCCTCCTCCGGCTTCACCAGTGCTGGTTGGATGAGGAACAACAATAGGATAATGGTTAGCTATTGATCTGCCTTCAAAGAGCTGTGAGGGCCTGAATGTGTTGTGCCATGACTTCTCCTCAGCATCTAGTGGCTCTTCCCTCCCTCTCCTCCGCTCTGAGCCCCATTGCTCTGCTGGATACAGGTCTCTGCTATCGACAGCAGGGGGCACTGTTGCTCTGCCAGCACAGGCAGGAGCAGGGAGGGAGAGGTGTGCTGCTGCTGCTGCTGCTGCTGCTGCTGTTATGAGGCCTTTGTGTCCCCATCTCCAGTGGGTTCCATGTGCTCCTCTTACATTCTGCTTTTCATATGCAGCTGTAATGTAGTTGGCTGGATGCCCGAGCGTGTTGTTGTCGCTTGCTTCTCAGTTATTGATCAGAGGAAAAGCTCCCAGCAGAACAAAGAGCATGTCCAGACATCTCGCCCGCCTCTCCTGTTGGTCAGAGAAACACAGACTCTAGGCTCAGGCTAAGAGTAACAATGACACGTCTCCCTACAGGCCTCCAACATCTGTGCAAAAAATATAGACCTGGGCCTGGAAGACCTGAGTATCTACTGCCGAGCATCTTGAGTTTCACCTTCAGGAGGGGTCAAGGCCCCGCTCTCTCTGTCTGCATCGATTCATTTTTCAATTCATTAGTTTGCCGTATGATCAGGCTGAGCTGCTCTCTGAAATGGCTGGCCATCAGGGAATACCTTTGGCCGAGGAATGAAGGAGACTACAGGAGGAGAGGGGGGGAGGTAGAGGCGGAGAATTGGAAAGCCTTGTTGTTTTTTTCATAGGCTGCGTTGTTTTCTTTATGACGGCCTTGTGTGTGCAGGATGGGGCTTGGATAATAAGGCTATGTGCTGTTCTGTTGTCAGATTTATTGCCGTTCTTTCGCCCTTGTTGCTTCCGTGTGCTGGCGTAGAGGGGATGAGAGAGAGACTAAAGAGGCAGACACAAAGGAGGTGAGTTGGAAGAAAAAAAAAGCAGAATCAGTGGCTACTTGGGTGGTGAAGGAGGCCGGCAATATGTCTGGTACCGTCCAACAAAAACATCAAATCTTTGGTGTCTCTTAACTTTGTCAGATGCCATAAAAATGATTTTCTTTAAAAAAAGACAGAATCAATGATTGTCCTTATGTGAGTAATGCAGAGTGGACCTGACTTCACAATTCACCTTTTTAGATTATGCTTGTTTCAGGTGAGAGCTTGAAATTTTGACTGACAAAAAAGATGATTGCATGGCACAAAGGATTTCTGGGGGCAGAGGACACATTCAGACGGCCCAGGCCAGGTAGGGTTGTTACACACAGGTTTCACAGCCAATTCTCCATGTTGCCTGTTGTTCCAACCTGACTCCCTGGCCCTCTGAAGGTCCTCTCCTCCTCTCAGGCCTTGGAGAAGGTGGTGGCGGATGTGCCCGGCTGCCCGGGGCTGGCACCGTGGTCATCATGCCAGCGGTCCACGCAGCGGCGGCGCGCATTCATAAAGAAGTTGCTGACGGTGCTGAGCTCCAGGCCGAGCTGCTGGGAGATGGTGATCTGCATTTCCTTGGATGGACGCTTGTTCTCCTTGAAGATGGCGATGAGTGTGCGGCGCTGCAGGTCAGTGAAGACCAGACGCTGTTTCTTGGGCGCCGTGTTGCGGTCCTTGTGTTGCTCCTGTTCTTTGCGCTTGCAGGCTTGGTGTGGATGGCAGCGGTGGGAGGGATGGGGATGAGAGTGGGAGGCAAAGAGGGGAAAAAGAAACACAAAGCAAGGTAAATATACAAAAGTGATTACTCTGATGATTAGATAGCAAAGACAGGAGGTGGAGGGAAGTAGAGTAACTAAATGTATCATTAGCCAATACTTAACACATAAAAACTAGTTTATACACCAGCAGAGATTCTACAGCTCCATCTCTATTGCCATATTAAAGTTGATTTAAAGCTAATCCATGCCTCCTGCCCAGTGGGAATATTCCTTCCATCCTGCAGAGTGCAGACAGGGAGCCAGCCTGCGGTGAGAGAAAGATGGGGTGAGGAGGGGGTGGGACTGGCTGTTGCCTGCTAGCTGGAGACACTGCTGTTTGATTCAATATTAATGCAGTTTGAGTCGCAATGGGGGACTGAGTGACTGTTGCACAAAAGTAAGCATTTTGTGTGTGTATGTGTGTGTGGAAATGAGAGATAGAGGAGGGGCGGGGAAAGAAAAGGTTGGAGAGAAAAGAACAGAAAAGGTGGAGGAGTAAGACAAAGTGTGTGCATTTGTGTGCCTGTGCGTGTGTGTGTGTGTGTGTGTGTGTGTGTGTGTGTGTGTGTGTGTGTGTGTATAAGAGCCAAAGAGAGGAGCCGAGAAGAGGAGGGAGGGGCGGCGAGTGAAGGAGAAAGAGAGATATTGACCGACTTTGCTGTAGGAATTGGGGGGTTCTCTGTAGGGACTGAGGTCAGAATCCCCCCCAGCAGGTCTACAGTCTGCTACTTCAAACAGAGCCCACTGGAGCCCACTCTATTGAGCTCTGAGAGGGTATTTATAACCCACCCGCCCCCCCTCTCCCTCCCCAAACACAAACACTCGAGAGGTGCATGCACTGGCTGCTATGAGCCCCTTCCCATACACCGAGCAATTTTCAAAAGAAAACACACCGAGTGTACTCTTTTACGTTTGGGAGGGGGTGGTGGGCTTGTAGGCAGCGAACACAGAAATTAATAGTTAATAGAATGTTGTATTGTGGGTAAGTGTGTTGTAACTCAAAGTATTCGTAGGAGATGGGTGGAAGGCAGCAGACAGGTGCAGGGTAAAAAGGCAGAAACGGTGCCCAGAGATGATGTAGGAGGAGTTGTGTGCGTCTGTGTGTGTGGAAGGTTATGGCACCACCTCTGCAGCCACATGTTCCCCTGCTGGCTGAGGATCGAATCCTGCCAGAACAGACTGTGTGTCCCTCTCAGCTTCCCTACTGTCTCAATAAAACGAGAGCAAATTGGAGAGAGAGAAAGATGCCATCCCTGTGGGGTCTCCACCTGCTGCCGTCCGTATTGTCTGATACTTTCATACTTCAATAATGTCTCACTCTCACGCTGTGTGTGTGTGTGTGTGTGTGTGTGTGTGTGTGTGTGTGTGTGTGCGCACACGCGCGTGTCTTGATGCATTTAAGGACAGATTTTTTTTCTCCTCTCTCTTATGTTCTACTTGTGTGTGTGTGTGTGCATGAGTGTGTGTTTGTGTGTGTGTGGGGGGGAGGCTGTGATTATGCTGAAGTGGCTGGAGCCAAGCAGTGGCGCTGTGTGTCTAATTACAGTGGAACAGAGCCCATTGATCAGCCATTGCAGTCCAATCTGTTTACTACAGATGTCTAACCTGCACACGAGCCCATCCATCATATTCATATTTCACATCAACACTGCAGCTGTATATACATCACACACACGCTAATATGCCACATACAAATTTGTCTAAATGCATGCTTGTATTACAGAGTGTATATCATCATATATCTGTGATTTATTATAGGATTAAGGGTAGTCATGAGGATGAGGGGGATGATGTCATTTTATCATTGGGACTTTAGCTGAAATATTCACATTGTCTCACAGAGTTAGTCTCAGTGGGTTAGGACTAAGTAAGGGAACTGTTGTTATTAATGAGGCCTGCTTTCAATACAGTTATAATTTTTGCATCTATCATAGTTTCTTACTTCAACAAAGTTGCTCTAAATATAATACCATCACAAGCTTATAACCCTGAACATGCACGTCTTCAGGTGACGCTAACCTACACACAAATAAAGATATTATCCAGCGCTTCCAGGGAGAAACATTCGTTCAATCCATATGGATTTATTAAAAAATAGATTCATCCTGAGATGTAATTTTCCGGGGTCGGGGGACGCCTTTTCAAAATACCACAAATATCATGCTTCATACATTATTGTTTGGCCAGCCGTCAGATTCCGAACTGAGCTGCTGATTTTGCTCTGATATATTCCAAAATGATGCCACAGAGGAGTACCACATTCAGCATATTTAGTGCTATTCTGGCAGAATTTAGCAAGATGACCAACTTAATTATAACCTGAATTTTGTTTCATTACCATGCTCCTTAAATGTATGAAGTAATCCAGGAAATTATATTCAAATCGCAATTTTTTTTCTAGGTGACGACCCCCAGATTGCCCCATTTATTGTGTCCACAAACCAAAGTTACACCCTCAGATTCATCAGTTCACACCTCTTATTTAAGCACACATCAGCTGTGACACATAGATATACAACTCTTAAAAAAAAGCTTGTATAAAAATTAGATATCTGCCTTTTTCCATATGTCAAAGTTTGGTAAGGTTTCCTAAAACTCATTGACACCAAATATTCAACAAACATATACTCCTCAAATATACAGTGTGAATTGTTCTGATCATCTGCACACCACACACTGACTAGATGATAGACTGCAGTCATTAATATATAATAAAATGCAGCGGTTGATACGTTATTGCGTTTTATGGTTGATAAAAGTTTAATCATGTTTGCCAGTTTACCCTGTCAGTGTCAGAGGAGATTAAATTAAACAAGAAATTAAAGCATCTTGACGTCAAATTGTTTTCCCTGTCGGTGAAAATCTGCTGCAGCACCAAACTGCAATTTAATTGACCGTTTATAATATTCCAGAGCAAAATTAACACACACTAATAGTTGATGTGGTCACCTGTAGTGGCTAAAACTGGCAGCCAGTGTATGAAGATGGCATCTGCATCCAGGAAACAAAAGCAACTGAGCATTAAACACATGCTTTCGTCAGTAAAACCAGTCAGTTGGAAACGTGCAGCTTTGATGGTGGAATATACCTTCATCATTTACCAAATAATACCTAAAATTCCAGACCATACAAAATTCCTGTTTACGTTTGCAAATCTGATTTTTAGAAACACCCACATGTGAGGATGCTCTGCTTAATCCACACGCAGGGACTTGCACTGCATCAGCTCCCCGCTGACTGAGGAGAAGCTACTAGTTCTGCTCAGCAAAGACATGCCATCCCCTCTGGCTTTAAACTTGTGTGGAAGAGGATTCGTCTCCCAGCAGGACAATGAGCCCAAACATGCAGTGGAGTCTGTTTGAAGACGAGGGAGGAGCAGCGAGTTGTGTTGACATGCACTGCTTCACCTCCACAGCCACTGGACCTCAACCTCACTGAACACAGGTGATTATTGTGAGAGGAGAAAATAGAATTTTTTTGTTTTTAAGTTTTGCACATTACTTGTCCAACACTTTAAATTTGTTGGTTAATATATGATATTAAATAAAAATGTGTGTTAGTATGCATTATCTGACGCAACAGCATTTTTTTGATACCAGATCTTTTAGAGTAACTTCCTCTGGAGCATCACAGTTAATATTATTATCAATATGAATTTATTAGCATCTCAATATTTAAGTCCAGGCTGACTTTAGGTTTATTTTATGCAGCTTCCAGTTGCCCTGAACACCTTCACTTCCCTCTGGTGTGTGATGTTTTCTTCTGGGATTCATCCAGATGTGTGACCTTGCACAGGTATGCACATAACCACACACACACTTTAGCCATATGCCAGAAAATGTGAAGTGTTTTGCAAAACAATTACACTTATTTCTTGCAATAAAAATAGGAGGAGTTTTATAAGAGGAAAAAAAAGGCTAATTTTAATTGATTTATCTACTTTTGTTTAAGTAGGAGACATTTTACTTGTTGTGAATAGCCTAAATGTCACCATGTGTATTTTAAAGCTGTAAAATCAACATATGCAGTTACAGAAATGGAATTCTTCCAAAATCTATGAATGGATTGTTTTTAAGCGGACAACAAATCTGTGGGGTAAAAGCTTTGGAAACAAACTGCTGGTCAGTATTTTTAATTACAATTTGTTGGACTTTATTCTCTTTAAATCCCCAAAGATTAAAGAGACAAACAAATGTGCTCTTTCTTTTCTTTTTTGTGCATGAAGCACATAATAAGTGCTCCACGGGAGGGGTGTTAATGTGCCTCCACAACGAGCTCAGACAGTCCCAGCCTCTCCCTCCACATCTCTCCCACCGGCGAGTCACGTCCTGCGCGCCTCATCGACCGCTTGCTTTGTGCCGCTCCGGTCGGCAGGTGTCGCTCTCGTCGTGGCCCCGGCTGCACGGGGCGCCATAGTGCGCTGCCTTTGCTACAGGCGCTGGATTTAGTAATCAATATCGATCGATCGGTGAGGAAGGGGGCCCTGATTACTGAACCAAGCTCGGCGTAGAAAAGAAAAAAAAAATCGATCATTGCAGCTTTTAGAGCTACAGTAGGCACCGAGCAGAGAGACGGACATAAACTCATGCACAAAGAGCAACCGGACAAGAGCAAAAATCCTGGTTTGGTGTTGAGTGTTTTTCTGAGGTGTGCACCCTGCTGCTACATGGGCAGACAGAAATGTGATTTCTATTAGGCGCTATATGGAGCTGTGAACAGGAGCTGACCTACTTTGAATGGATCCCTCAGGCTCCTCACAAACATACAGAGACTGATTAACAAAGACATGAACATCCTGTTTTAATGCGTGTTTTTATTTACTATAATATTAAATTAAATCCTATGTATGCAAAGCAGAAGTTTATCCACATGAATGTCAAATCAAAGGCCTCTTGGATCGCAGTCTAATATCAAATTCCTTAATGAGTGATTTTTTTTTCCTCTCGGA